CTAACATTTTCTTCCCACAGGACCCCACGAGGCTACCATCGTCCCATTTCAGCAGGAGTAACTTGGAGGATGATACGCCCCATTCCCCATTATTGTCTATTAGGGTAGTGTAAGCCTAGTTAGGAATAACTTTCCTATTGTTTAGGGTTGGGATTGGAAGGAGGTGTTCAGGTTTGGACACCTCTTTCAGATGACTTTAGGGTTTAGCTGAAATAGACATGGTTAGGATGTGCAATAGCAGATTATTGTATCTTCTTGTATTTCACCTTTATGATTGTTAATTTTGGATAGTTTATACTGTTAAGTTTTAATCCTCTTTTAGACTAAAAGGGGAATTGTAGGGGACAGTAGCCATGCCTGTTAGAGGTTGGCTACAGGTGTGCCTGACCACGCCTGTCAGGGCGTGGTCAAGATGAGGTCAGGATGACGCATGAGGGGTTCTTAAGGGGCAGCAAAGCACATGTGAGCCCTTCTCTCTGGCCTAGTTGCTTTGCTGCCCCTGGAAAGCTCTGGCTTGCATTTGTCTGGCGTTTATCTGAATAAAGATATCTTAACCATAGGGACTATGGATCGGCTCTCGTTATACCAAGGAGTCTCCATGAGATGATGGGTGCAGAAGTCTGTGCACTTGGGTAAGACCTTTTGCCTGCAAGGTTTTGCCTTGTTCATGAATGTTGGCTTACTCCTGAAGTATCACCCACCTCCACAAACCAAAGAGAGATCCAAGAAGACCATGTGGGCTGGTGAGCTGATCTAGAAGGAACAAGGTCCCTTGGGTTTCATGTCCACGACTCCAGGCTGGGCACTCAGGATGTCATGTCCATTTGTGATGCTGTAAAAAAATACCTGAGGCAGATTAACTTACATGAAAAGCATAAATTTACTTTTCACAGATCTGGGTGTTGAGTCATTCACCCCTGTTTATCTGGAGAATTTATTCAGATGTCCTTCAAGGCATACTCAGTCTACCACTCATTGTCAGTGAAATTTTGACTAGCTAAATTGTATCAGCTTTTCTTTCTCATGTCTTCATTCCTTGCAGAGTATGTGTATGTCTCTCTGTCTCTGTCTCTCTTCCCTCTTTCTGTCTCTTTCACACTGTTTTTTCTCTTTCTGTCTCCTCTCTCTCTCTCTCTCTCTCTCTCTCTCTCTCTCTCTCCTATTGGTTCTTACAACCCAGAAGACAGATTCACTCAACATCCTGGATAGTGTGATCTTGCAAGACTCCTTTTGTAAGGGCACCTGCTTGCTTTCCAGGAGGGAGTCCTTAATGCACAAATGTGAAGACCTATGCTTTATTTCGTGATGACATGTAAATAATACCACTAATCAGTATATAAGGTAGAGGGGTCAGAGTACAGGCATTAAGAATAAGACACCAGGCTTAGAACTATGAAAATGAATGGCAGTTCCAGGTCACAGTTGATAGCCTTTGGTGGAATTTAGAGGTAAGAAATGAAAGAAAGTGGAGGAAGTTTCCTGCCACCTTTGCTCAAGCAACCTAATAGAAGGCAGAGACTTCTATTTATGTAGATGGGGGAAGCCCAGGGAAATAGCAGGTATGCAAAAGTATTTGAAGCACCCTAGGTGAAACATCTGAATTTCTAAATGCCTCAGAGGCATTCAAATAGACAGTCAAATGCACATGGGCAGAACTGGAGAAGGTATCATTACCAGCACAGAACATTTCTGGAAAGCATTCCAAGACCTGAAGCTAGGAAACCACCCATACTATACTGAACTCCAAGAAAGGAATAGGAGGAGGAGAAGTAGGTGGGAGAGATTGAAGGAGAACTTCAACTGAAAGGCAGGGAAAACGGCAGAAGGTCATTTCAAATAGAGGAAGGGGTGTCCCAGAAGCCAAGAAAGAAAAGGTTAGAGAAGGAAAGGCTACTAACTGCTGAGAGAAAGAGACACTGGGCATAGAGAAAAGACAAGGGAAAACAGCTGAGGGAGGGAAAGAAGAGACAAACCTAAAAATGGGAAATGTATTGATAATCGGCTGGCAAGCCCACTGGGCCAGCTGGTAATACTAGACCATCCTGCATATTTATGTTCCCAAGGGAGTGTCTTCTCTGAGGAAAGACCCCAGGATAATTACACCTAAACCAAAAAAGAAGACAAGGTATTTATTGTATGAGCCATGACAGATTAAACAGCGCATTTCAGTAGACAGAAATTCTTACATCTGACATTAATAGCAGTAACTGGCCTGCAGGAGAACACGCAGTTTGGGCCCTGGAAGCTGAGTAAGGGAGGGATTAGGTAGTTTAGGTCAATTGAGAAAGTTGGGTTGTAAGAGAAGTCTTACAATTCTCTTTTTTCCAAAGAACTTATATACAGACTGTAGATTCTTACGATAAATCTTTCTGCCAAAGCTGCTGAATCCCACCGGCACGTGTGAGCTCTATGCCAGCCGCCCACCCGAGTTAGGGCCCAAATGAATACACAGAAACTTGCATTAGGTTCAAATGCTGCTTGGCCAATGACTAGGATTCTCATCTGTTAGCTCAGTCTTAATTATCATAAATGTATATATTTTATAAGACTTATCTTATAGAGGATGCCTTCTGCAGGCACCCTCTCTTGCTGGTAACTCACATGAGGCGGCTGGAGGAGGCGCTGAGGGGAAAAGGGGACACTTCCTGTTTATCCTCATATGCTAAATATGAGTCTCCTTGCTATGTCACTTCCTGCCTGGATCACCACTTCTCTACTACATTTCCCAGAATCCTCTATGACTCCTAGTCCTGTCTAACTTGCTGCCATTGGTTAAACAGTATTTTATTCAACAATCAATAAGATAAACATACACAGAAGTACTTTCCCCATCAGTAGATAATAATAGTAGGAATCACAGAGGCAAGAAAGAGAACCACACATGACAAACTGAAAGACCAAGTGTTAGGTCAAGTTTAATGTAACCTGTTTTGGGCAATGGTTACATGTACACAATAAGAGTGCCTTCAGCTTTGATGCTAGAAACTTTCTCCCAAAAATTGGTCAAAGACCTGTGTGTAGGATGGGGCTAGGCATGAGGAAGGGACAAAAGAGATTCACAGAAGATGGAGCAGGAGTAGAAGATGAAATTGTAAGAAAATGTACAATATAATAACCTATTAATGAAATGCCAAACACACATTGATGCATGAGGGGTTAATTTTCTCCTTAGGGTGTTCAATGGTCAAGGCTGAAAGGCTGCTTGCATTGTAGGACACAGGTGAGCACTTCCACACTACTAATGGCAGAGAACATGGGTTGCCCCACTCACAGCACATAATGGATTAATGAATGCGTACTTGGACTTAGCCCAAATTTCAGCAAGGTCACTTTCTGGTATATACCCCAGAGCCTTCCTCACTGCCAGAGGTTTAAGAAGGCAGATAGGATGCAGGTGGCATTACTGTCTGGGACAGTCCAACATGACAATAACCTAATTGGAGTATCCAACAATAAGCCAGTGCAGTATGAGTGAGATGAACACCAACAGGGAAACCAGTACTGAAAGTCAAGTGGCCAGAGTATGGTGCCCAAAGAAAGAAAAGGGGACCAAGAAAGGATCTGTAGAGGTATGATCTTCTGTGAACCTGCTTGCCCTCTCACTGTCAGAGAGATGTTATGCATGTGGCCCTGAACAATTGGTGGTTGGAGAGAAAGTGGTAAGACTGGCAGGGCCTGAAACTATTTTGAGCCAGGGTAGCACAGCTGTGACAGGATCTCTAGCCCAGGCAGCAGAAGATATGGTGGGGGGACTGATGGATGGAAGACAACTGATGCTAAAACACATAGAGAGGCTTCTGGGATTTAGGTCACCCATGCTACCCTCAGCACCAAGAAAGACATGTCCCAGAACCTGTATAGTGGGATTTAGGTCACCCATGCTACCCTCAGCACCAAGAAAGACATGTCCCAGAACCTGGAAAGCTATTGACACAATAGGCAGGGAAAATTTGAACATCTCACTGTCATCACAGTGTTGTCTACATGAATTTAGGCACATTTCCCAGAAACTCTGAAGTTTTCTGTGATTAGAAGGGGAGGGACTGGCCCAAGGACAGCCAGTAAGATACAAGTCCAAGGGTTTGGGCTTCAAATCTCAAAAGCAGCTTTTCAAGAACTTGGATATACAGCAGGCAGAGCAGGGAAGGCATGCCTAATGCTGGACCACCCTCCTGTGAGCTAGCCACTGGCACCAAGGGCAGCAAAACACTCAAGTGTTGAAGATGCCTGCAGCCCCTTCCACTGGGGTGGGCACCATCCAGATGGCGCGTGCTCCGTGGGGAGTGGTGGGATGGGATGTGTGAGCTCATGTGAGCTCACGTGGTATCCATCTGTTTCAGGGACTCTACCTAGACCAGGTGTTGCTTGCCCAGCTCTGTCACTGGACTAGGTCCAGATAGGGTCTCAACAGGGGCAAAAGCCTCAGAGCACCGGCTCCTAGGCCTTGGTCAGGAGACAGAGCTAGAGGGGGCACCACAGCTTTCTGGTGCCCTTCTGTGGAGATTCCTGAGCACTGTGTGTCCCCTGTGTCAGGGGCATAGAGGACTAGTGGGGGAGGGATCAGCAGCAGGTGACATCACCAGTAGCCGCCCCAGTGACATCACAGGAGGAGTCCCCAGTTTGCTAAGGGCTAGGCGACAGCCTTGTCTCCTGAGCCTTCTGCGCCAATGGCCTGGCTGGCCCACTCCTGCAGGATGTAGAGGGTCTATTCTCCCTGGCTACCACACATCCTCCTGGAGTCTGCACTGCAGAGAGCAGCGTTAAGCCTGTGCCTGTACACTGTTCTAAGCGAGAGAGTCTGACTATACTGCTAGAAAGAGCAAGGGAGCTGGCTGGCGAGAGAATCCTGGAGAACAGCCTGGGGAATCCTTGCTGTGTGACTGAATGAGGAAGGATCCTGCTCTTAAGAGGTGCCAGATCCTGGGAGGGTACTACTAGCCCTAACAAACCCCGCCCCAACCTGCAGGCCTGCCTGAGTTGGACTGCAGGAAGGTACTAGGATGGGGAAGGCCTGTGCCCGAGGCATGGGGTGGGATGCACAAGCATTGTCTAAGGTGGTGGTTCTCAACATGTTTAATGCTATGCCCCTTTAATACAGTTCTTCATGTTGTGTTGACCCCCGACCATAACATTGTTTTCATTGTTACTTCACAACTGTAATTTTGCTGCTGTTATGAATCATAATGTAAATATCTGTGTTTGCCAGTGGTTTTAGGAGAACCCCGTGAAAGTCTTTTGACCCCAAAGGATTGAGACCCACACATTGAGAGCCTTTGCTCTAGGGATAGTGGATGAGAAGGAGCAGGGGTGGGGGAGTGTGGAAATTAACCTCCTCTCTCCCTGTTTTTGTTTGTAGGCTTGGAGACCTAGGCTGGTCTCCCTAAGTGAGTCCTAGCCTAGGCTCCTTCCCCAACCTGTCCTACTTCTGTGGAAACTGTTTCCTGCCCCTAGTGTGAGCCTTGGAAAAGTTTCACTCCACTTTACTGTGCTGGGCAAAGTATTTCATGAGGAGGATAATGCCACTGCAGCTCTGGTTGAGCTTGACCAGGAAGTCAACTATGCTTTGGTCCCAAGGAAAATTCTAGGAACTGGGGGGCCCTGAAATGTTGTCTTTGTGCCCCGTTACTCCAGCGAAGAGCTTCTTAGTCGTGTTTTCCACTTCTTGGAGCAACAGGGGCAGACTGTGGACAGTGTACCTGGAGCCCTGGGTCTGGAGCTGGACAGAGTGTGCAGGCTCCAGTCAGTCAGTCAATCCAGCCCTGGGTGGAAACCTTGCAGTACCAGCGCTTAGGTGTGTTTTCTGGGAAGGTCCAGCCAGCTCCTGGGGAGTAATACTTTGAGGTCTGGCTAGACCACACCACTGACATGTTTCAGGTGTGGCAAAGGGTCCCAGAAAGGGAAAAGAGGAGACAATTGCTGGAGGGCTTGCGGGGGACTGCCCTGTATCTTGTACATGGGCTGTTAGCAGAGAATCCAGGAAAGACTGCAGAGGACTGCCTAGAGGCCCTCATCCGGGTATTTAGAGACAATGAGTCTCAGGTCACCATCTGAATGAAGTGTTTGACTGCTCAGCAGCAGCCAGATGAGCAGCTCTCTGCCTTTGTGTTGAGGCTAAAAGTCCTGCTGCAGAAAGCCATCCCGGAGGGGGCTGTAGAGAAAACCTCCACTGATGATATCCACCTGAGGCAGGTGCTCACCAGGGCTAACCTGACTGAGACTCTGGATGAAGCTCTGAGGAGATTGAGAATGATTGGGAGGTCTCCTACTTTCCTGGCGTTGTTGGGGCTCATACAGGAGTCTAAGACACGGGAGGCAAGACTAGCCAGCAACATGGGAGCCCAGGTGTTAGATGAAGTTGGTCATCTGGTTCCTGCCCAGGTAGATGGCAGAGCCAATGCTAAGGCAGAAGATGAGAATGTGGAGAAGGAGGAAGATGGGGCAAAGGAATAGGCAGAGGATGAGGTTGAGGAAGAGATAGAAGACCATAACTGAGACCACGGCTCTGTACACCTAAGACAGGCAGGACCTGATGAGCCCATGGGGCTTCCACCCTAGCTCAGATGGGCAGTACTCCTAGAGAGTGCCCAGGGGGGCCTGGCTGGGTGCTGGATAGCCTTGACTAAGCGGGAAAACATAAGGCAGAGGATCCCATCTTGTACCAGCCTAGAAGTGTTAATGAAGGGTCAGCCCCAGAGTAGAGGAGAGGGCCTGAAGATATCTGCTATACTCCGTGGCCTGGAAGATATTAGGGAGAAAGAGTCTATATTGTAAGGATCCTGATTACCTGACTCTTCTACCCAGTCAGCATGCCTAGGCAGGCTTATGACACTGCCTTGGGAATCTCATCCTTAATTGTAGTCACAGTAACCCAGCTATTCAATGAGTATGCACTTTCATACTAGCTCTCCCATCCATTACTCCCTAGGCAAAGTGTACCAATACCAGATGGGTGGAAGCCCTAACCCACCCAGCCAATCACTACCATAACCTAGCTTGTGCTGTGAACTTTCATTCCAGCCAAGATCCCATTTGCTCTGCTCCTGGCTCGTGTTGTGTATTCCTGGTCAGCTCTCTTGATATTCTTGCAGGCCATCCACTTGCTGCTTATTCCCTGCATATGTCTGTATTCTTACCTGAAAAGGTCCGCCACAGAGATCCCAATCCAAGCCCTTGAAGGAACCAGCAAAAAGGATGGATGATGACAATTAGGAACTGGCTGATGCTCATCTTATGACTGATTTCAACCTGGGGTGGGCATGAAGACCTGGACTAAGGATGGATGGGATCTGAGAACCAATATGTAATGATTCACTCTTGTTACTTGTGAATCAAGTTCCTCTGTTTGGTGAAATGTTCCTTTCTGTGCTTTCTGGTGTCCAGTGACTGTCTTATGCCAGAATAAATCATGATCACCTTGCAATGGGTGATTCTTCTAGAGTATCCCCCTAAAAGAAAGAACATTGACAGATGCCATCTGGAAAGAGGCATACATATCAGGGGTCCTTTGAAAGGAAGCTGAGGCATGTAGACCTCAGTGAGGCAAGCAGATGAGGTCCTTCCCCATGAATTGCAGAATGGTAGGAGATAGTATCTGTGACCTCTAGCAGCTGCAAGAAATATCTGTGCTGTCATCCCCTTGCCTTCAATGGCTTCAGTAAATGTATCTATCTATTCAATAAATTCCATGGGTGTTACAGTTGCATCTTGCCTTTTCTAGGCTTGGGCTGGACTGGAGCAAGATTGGGATATGTTCAGGGCAGGAACATGAAGGGCTGTGAGATGGGGTGGGGGGGCTTGGGTTGATAAGAGCAGGCTGACCAGTCGCTGGTGATGATGTTATGTTTATGACTTAATAAAGCTTGCCTGTAGAACAGAATGCAGAGATTAGCTGCTACTTAGCCACAAACCTAGTTAAGAGCTAAACCACTAGTTATCCACACACACACTAAACCACTAGTTAGCCACACACTCACACTAAGCCACTAGTTAGCCATAGAGGACAGACAGTGGTGGTCATACCTTTAATCCCAGCACTTGGGAGACAGAGGCAGATGGATCTCTGTGAGTTCAAGGCCACCCTGGGCCAACTGAGAGTGATGCAGTCTAAAAGAGAAACAGAACTCACACCTTTAATCTCAGTGCCTGTGATGACATGCCTTTAATCCCAAACTAGATAGGAATATAAGATGGGAGGAGACAGGATTAGTGCAGTCTGAGGCTTGGTGGACAGCAGTGCAGTCTGGAGACACAATCTGAGGACAGAATCGCCCCCCCCATTTTGGTCTGAGCCTTGGTAAAGGTGAAAATTTTAGTGTCTGGCTGCTTTCTGATCTTTAGGCAAGCTTTATTATAACATAAACAAAATATTACCACACTGGTGTGGGGTGGGACCACTGGTTATCTGGCTTTCAGGGGAGAGGCACTCCAAGATGACAAGAAATAGGGATAAGTCAGTTGTGTGCTCAAGTGAGGCTATGGGGCGGCAATCAAGGCCCTTTGCCCCAATATTTCTGACTGCTAGATGTTTCAGTTAGAAAATCATTACCACAGAACCCAAATGCCATTCTTTTCACTAAAACATGGGGCGGGGGAATCTGTGGAGCCACAAAAGGCTGTAAATAGCCAAAGCCCTCCTGAAGGAGAAAACCAAAATTGGAGGCATTAGGTTTCCTGATTTCATAATATATTACACAGATATAATGATCAAAAGAGTGCAGTGGCCAGGCGTGGTGGCAAACACTTTTAATTACCCCACTGGGAGTAAGAGGCAGGAGGATCTCTGAGTTCAAGGCAAGGCTGCTCTACATGGTAAGTTCCAGGACAGCCAGGGCTACAGAGAGAGACTACCTCAAACAAACAAACAGGTAAATGTATGGCATTGACATCAAGGTGGGAAAAAGAGACAATAAACTAGGCTACACATCCATAAGAAACTGATTTCCAGGGGAAGGTGCCCTAAAATACCAAAGTTGGGGAAAGTATGGTCTTTTCAGCAAATAGCACTTAGGAAACTATGCATCTATGTGTTGAAGAAAGAATTTTGACCCTGACATTGTTCTTGGAGCATTTTTTAGTTATCACATCAAAACTTTAGGCAGCAAAAGCATAAAAGATTCCCTCAAACTATAATTGTTATGCATAGCAAAATAAAATATTCAACCAAACAAAAACACCATCTTTGGATTGGGGAAAACATTTGTGAATTATAAACTTCATGGGGGGTTAATGTCTCAAATAGCAATGAATTAGCAGAAATCAATAGCAAAAAAAACAAGCAAGCAAACAAGAACTCCCAAATAATTTGATTTAAAAATGGACAAAAGAGCTCAGTAGATAGCGTAGACAGCAAGTGTATGAAAATGTGCTCAATGTCAATACTCATTAAGGAAATGCAAACCAAAAGGACAATGTGATACTACCCCAGATAGGTTGGATATCTACTATTAAAAATAAAACAGAATTGAGTTGATGAACATATGAACTCACAAGGACTGTTGACAACATGCACAAAATCTGCGAAAAATCTTAGGATAGAGATGGTGAAGAATGCACAAAGTCCCACCCTCTAACCAAGAAGCTATTTGCAATTGATAGTTGCTGGGAAAAGAAAATCGGTTTTCATTAATGGAGTGACAGTGGGTTTATCAATAAATGGCCAATACAAAATAGATCCCATGGTTTTTGCTTTTTTGTTTGTTTGTTTGGGTTTGGGTTTTGTTTTGTGTTTCAAGAGAGGAGAAAAACATGAATCAGGAATCTGGGAAGAGTTGGGGAGGGGAAGAATATGATCAAAATATATGAAAACTTTTAAAATTAAAAAATCACTGCAAATAGCAAGTACTGGAGAAGCTGTGGAGAAAATCAAGGTATTTTTCACTGCTTATGAGGATGTCATTTGTTACAGAAAATAGTATGAACATTCTTCAGACAGATAAAATTAGATCTATCATATGACCCAGTAATCCTTGTTGAGTCTATAAGCAAAGCATATCAATTGTCATGTTCCCATGTGCATTTGCATAGTATTCACAATAACCAAGTCATGGAATGAATCCAAGTGTCCATCAATGAGTAATGTGATGGGTGTGTGTGTGTGTGTGTGTGTGTGTGTGTGTGTGTGTGTGTGTGTGTGAGAGAGACAGAGAGAGAGAGAGAGAGACAGACAGACAGACAGACAGACAGACAGAGACAGAGACAGAGTGGAAACTTGATAGTCTTGTATTTAAAAGATAGAACTAAGCTCTTTCTTGTTTTGAAAATATTTCACACCCACATTTTGCCTCAGTGTATTCATATTTCTGTTTCTCTTCCCCCACATATATTTTTTTCTAAAAATGCTTTCTTTTATCTTGAAAGACTCTGGAACCCATTATTGGTAGGACTTTTTGATTTTTAAGTTCTGGGATGATGCATTTAAGTACTTCAAGATACATATTACACAGTAAGTGAGGAGTATGGTTTTCTTTTGGAAAGACGAGGAACAGGAACTGTGGAAGGAATTGGGAGTCCACAGGAGGAAGCTGACAGATTTCAAGCATGTCGAATCAGAATATGAAACTCCAGGAAAGTTAAATTAGCTGGGACCCCTAAATCTGAGAACATTTGCACATGAGGCACATGACCCCCACTTTTGATAGTGGTGGGGCTGGAACTCAGGCCCTCTCACATGCTTGACAACAACTGTACCACTGATCTGCGCAGCAGGCTCCTAAACTCCATTTATAGATCCCCATCTTACACTACAGGGGCAGTGATGAATAAGGAGATAATTTCACAGTTTGAATGCAACCTGGAAAGTAGAAGCTACCCATCTTTGTGTTACATCACTCAGGAGATTGGGACCATGGATAGTGGGCCATGGATTCTCTGCCAGGGACTGAGACTCAAGCTCCCTGGAGGCAAGGTCTGCTTAATCCAGACATTGCTCCATCAAAGGTTACTCCCATCGTAACCAGTACCCTCACTAGGTTTGTAATCACTAAACTCCATGAGGGTAGGTACTATTTCTATTTGGATCCCATGTTCCATTCTGGGGCCAGGGAGTGCCTGGCCCATAGGCCACATAATGTGTTATTAACACTAAACTTTCTTAATGCTAATCAGAAAGGACCAACAACAGCAGAAAGACACTGGACTACGGAACAAAACTGCTGAACTGAATCAGCCGGTATACTTCAAAGATGTATTGACCTCTGTATGGAAACCAGAACATGTGTTAAGTTGGGGAAGAGGTTTTGCCTGTGTTTCCACAGGAGAAGAAAAACTTTGGATACCATCAAAGTTGATCAAGATTCAAGCTGAAAAAGAAAAACCTCTCGATGAGGAGAAATGACAGGTAATCTACCAAGTCTCATAAAGTGGATAGATACCTCACAAAGGAAAGGGAAATGTTTTGTTTTTATATTCACAGGAAAACTCATCTCCAGAAGTCAAAGGACACTACACGGGTA